TAAGTAATAAGGATTGTACTGATACAAACTGGACGTTACTCATAATGGACTGTGACTTTCAGAGTCAGATAGATTTAAAGTACATCCTTTTAAGACGGAAAACTAAGCTGGTGGCTTACCTGTTTGGATGGGCGTTCAGATATAATTTGGTCATGTTTGATGTGGTGTAAATGGAACAGTGCTCGATAGGATATTCCCATGAGAATGTTATCGGGTTCCGATTTCCTTTCATGTTCAAGACGTGTGCTACTAAAGACCTCGAGTATGAGCGAAACTCAAACCTACTGCCAATTTTTGAAAGAGATTCGTCGATGGAGTCTACATGTTTGTTAAGCCTGTAATCAAGTGCTGATGTTGTTCACGATATACCGATTAGATCTCCTAGTAAGCATCATAAATTATTATTTCGCATCTGCTACCTTTTGTAAGGTTGACAGTAGGTTATTTAATTAACAAGTACGATACGATCAGGGTGTGATTACGTAATCCAAGATCACGCTGAGTATAACCAGGGTTCAGTGTACATAGCTTTTGAATCAGTCGCTTGGTTTACCAAGCTTGATCGTTAATTTTGGGAAGTTTGGTCTAGCATGTCCTCCTCTGTTTGTCTGGACCACACAGACTGGTTTATGTTTATGCAACAGACGAGATCAAGTGGACGGTGCAAAAAAGCAGTGTGTTTATTTTCTCTGTGTTAACAGACAAAAATCGGTTAACTTATTCATGAAACCCCCATTGCTTGATAAATCACACGATTCATCTAATTCTTAATATACAAGCAAATAATCAAATGAGACAATATAAATACCAGGATACTAGCAAAGCATTATTTCTTGATCTGACGACTTTTCACCAAATTTTCTACATGCCAAGATATATTACATATTAGAATATTGTGTGGCCCGTAGTGCTGAGGTTAAAACCCGACATACCGTTTGTAGTTTGAATCCGTGAGGGCTATTTCACCGAGTTTTCATGTCATTAGTTTGTCGAGAACTCATAAAGTGTATATCCAAATGGTTCAAAGTAAATCCGAGGGTTTACGACGAATAAACAGAACAAAACACGCCTCCGAAAACATTTGAATGCTTGCTTGGTATAGCGAAGCAGACCTGTGTGTACTTACTCTCTGATTGGTCGAACGCACTCTGCCGGTGATTGGTGCTTACACGTCAGCTTTCGTTGGTCAGCTGTTGAGAGGTGTTGACAGTTTGATGCCTAACGGTTTGGCTGGGCAGCGAAACTGGCTTCCTTACACACATGAGTGACACGTTCAATTAAAGGTCAAATTAAAGTTGCTTGCAGCAATCAGTGGATGCTAAAAACAAAAGCAAAGTTTAGTATTCCAAACAAAATCGGCGTGATTAGCAAATTAAAACTTAGTGAGAGGAACTTACACACAGCTGCTACCACACTGAAAACATGTCGTGGTACAAGGGAATGAACAATGATGCAAATCCAATTGAATGGAAGAAATAGATGTATACATGCAGGAAAAAAGAAAACGTGAGAATGCAATTTAAACATGGTTTTCACCTGGTTAATCAACTTGCTGAATTTGCATGAGGTGAACGACCAAAACATTGTGGGGAAAAACGTTGAACTTGTAAGGAACCAAAAAGCAAATCGTTGGTCTCTGGTAGAGAAAAACAAGTACTTAATAGACTGAAAATGTTTGAAAAGGCATACGGACAGAACGTCAGCAACTTTTGATATCGCATACCGTGTAGAGTCTGCACAATTCAACAATTGCTAATAATCGCGTAACCGACATATTGTATCACGTAGATTTGAATTTGTGTTGAGCACGCGACTGGAGGAAAGGGGATTGGTTGTAACTTCGTGAACTATACCGTAAAACATTTGGTTTCATGAGATTTGTTCAAACATACCTTTGAGTTTCAGCGGTTGGAACATAATTTGCAAACCTCATATCTGGATACAACATATTAGAAAACAATCATCCTTCTTATTGGTTACGTCATAGTTGTTTTTCCAAAATTCACCTCGGTTTATTTGTTACCGCTAGTTGAGTGAACCACCTGTTAAACTGTCGACGTAACTGCACATTACCATAACGATTACGTTGTTGATTTTCGTACACAACCTATTTTAACTGCGCAAAGTTAGCACTAGAGTGAACAGTAGAGCCTGATTTGTATCACTTAACATGGTAATATTGGCTTAGAATAACAAGGTAGTGAACAAAAATAAACTTCACATTGCTATTCAGCTCAACGACATTTTGACTATTTTTTCTGCCCGTTGGACGAGTGAACTCAGTGTGCAGCATGAACGGTTAAGTCTCACCATTTCCAAAGGGTCATGAATTAAATGGATACTGTCATTTCTTTTGCCCCAAACCATACTTCAGCGTGACTTATTCTGTCCCTTTCCGGATCTATTACATGCGGACAATCGGAGTCACAAACAGAATCTTTTACAAGAGCACAGAGTGTAACTGAAGTACCCTCATCAAATTAAAGACAACGACCTATCACAACTTTTGCTATGACGGCATCTAAAGTTGGTTTGGATATCAACACACGTGTGCCACACACACGTCTGGCATCTGCGTTACTGGACAGATTGTAGATGATTGCGCCAATTTTGTACTTGGGTAGCAATCTGTCGACAGATCGGTCTGGAGACCGAGGGTTGTGAACCCGTGTGGTGAAGATAAGCGATATTTACGGAAATCTTGGAATGCCTATGGGAATGCGACAGCTACGATCAATTGTGGGTGACGTTCAATCTATATGAAAATCAAAATATTCTACTACTCATCAGTCATCATATTATCGCTTTAGGAGTCACTGATGCGACCAATCCCACCGACTTACTCTGCTCGACATACCGGGTTTGTAGTGTGTAGTCAAAGCAAGTCTAAGATAGCTTGTCTACAAGTGCTGAAATCACTGCCACTAACCTAGTTTCATCTCCACTCTGTAGTCAAGAAAACTTCATCAAATAGTTGAATTTCCCTCCGTCTTTTGTTTGTGTCTGGCCTGGACAGATTACACAATCATGGTCAGTTTATTGACAGTCTATCGCATTGGTATAAAGTTGGATTTCCAACTGTTACGTGTTCAGGCCTGAACACCTAATTCCTAAGACATCGATACCAAACTCTTTGATCTATTAGTGTGATATCTTGCGAAAGTGACCATTTCATAAAAATGTATTGGAAATAGCTTGAAGTCATTGCAAGAAACAGGATTACTTGCTACACTTTCTTTCCGTGAGTTAAACCGGATATTTGGGCAGTGTATGTGTTATTAGTTAGACCGGTTAACGGTTAGCTTTAACCCACTTAGAGTAATAAGTGTCAGACAACAGTCTCGACTTGATTATTGTATATTCAATTCATCACTGCGACAGGCCACACAAATGGCAAACCTCGTAAACCAGTGTTAGCAGCCTCGAAAATCGCAGTCAGATATCTTACCGGTTAGGACTGGAATAAGACTGAGGGGAAGGGCCATGCTCACGGGTCGGTTAAAGCGAGTTAAATATAAACGTCACTTTTAGTTCGCCAGTAAGCCTTCTGAGAGGTCAGTACTTTAGTCTGTTCGGTTAGTTTGGTGTAAAGAAGTGAACGTGCATTACGTTCTTTTTTACTTTGTCTGTCACATACCCTGTTTGAAGTCAGCCAAAATATGTGGACTAACATTAGATTCCAGGGTTCAACAGCTGAACCGAAATAAGTTTGTTTCGGTGTAGTGCAACCGGTGCGCTAGTGTTCACTATGGGTGTCACCAAATTATGCATAAGATTCGATTAGTTGTTTGAATATTCATGAAACACAAACAAACGCCACATGGCTGACACACAACAAATATAAAGGGTTCGTGTATGGTTTGCTATTGCTATATTGATACCAATTACAAGAATACGGCTCACTGGGACTTCTTTACAGCTAGCTTACCTGTTTTACGTGTAGAAGTCCTCATTAGCCTTGATCTTACCTGATATAAATTTCCACTGAATTTTTGACAGTTTAGGTAGTTAGTTTGGTTACTTTCGACTAAACTGCAATGGAATGGTCAGCCTTACACTGTCAGGTTTTATCGCTTATGGCAACAAACGTTCAAAGTTGAAATTGTCCTCAGAGTTCCACGTGTTGGACCTCATTGCACGACCAGTTTATCTACGCTGTAACTTGGTTAATGATGATAACAATCTGTGATTCAAACTCGAAACTTCCATTAAATAAACCATGTCCATTCTGCTCGGTAGTAACTGCTAATCTAACCCAGGGGTAAATGTCTATCGTTATGTTTCATCGGGAATACTTAGCCGCCAATTACAATCCTTTTGCTATATGGTTCAATCGGCTGCCTGTCTCAAATAACTAAATTCAATCAATCTCCAAATGCATAAGTTGTCACCAAATGATAAACCAAGCCAAGTACTACTATTTACAACCTGAGAAAAGTTCGTGCCCGATTGATGCAGGGAGGAAATAATGTCAACATTATTTCATTACTTTCACCTCTATTGAATTGCAGGTTATCATGAACTGACTTGAACTGATGTAATGGATTCCCATAAACCGTGTGCTAAGTGTTGTGTGCACAGTAACCGTATTCACGCAATGATCTTACTTATAACTAGGTCAAACTGGTATCAGTTGACTGCTGTGCACAGATACTAAGATGTTATTTAAAACCTCCAGCTCTCTCGGTGAATTTGTACATAACAGTGAGAAGATGAATACTAATGGTTACTGACACCTTAAGTCATTGTTTCATTACCAAACAGCACTAATCAGGAATCTATGTAGGACTAGTGGGGTCGGATGAGAAACAAAATTAGTACGAAACTGGTGGTTGCCATACGTACTAAGGTTTTCAGTTCATGGTAGCCAAATGCTCACGTAGGACTAACTCTGTTTACATAATAATAGCATGAGATGCGCGAAACGATAAGTAGCACGAAGAATTGTAGGTTTACATGTTAACTGCAGATTATAGATGAGACCTATTTGTGAAAAGTCGGGGCTTCCACTGGATTCGAACCAGCGACAGAAACACCATGCCTCAAAATGGCAAGCGTCCTACCAGTTGGGCTACGAAGCCAGGCCAGGAGCTCGGATCATTTGGTGGGTTCCATATAAAACAGTGGAAAACTGATAAAGCCGAGATTGTGTATAACTCCAAGATAAATCTGCTAGTTTGCACGGTCGTATACTAAATCCATTTTGACAAATATTGCAGCGTAAAGTTTAAACACTTACCTGCTGTGCTGCTGTAGCCGTCGTCACAGTTTAAAACAACTTGATGACCATCATACGGATTCGCGTTAGTGAGTCACTGTTCTTTGGTCGAAGGCAACATGAGCTTGAAATCCTTGCTAGTGATTACGATTTCGGTTGCCTTGTAAAACTGCTAAATGAATACGGAGCTCTTCCATGGCTAACTAGCAACTCACTGTTTACTTTCTTCTTCTTCATAAACGTGAGGACTGTATTTCTAGTTTCCTGTTGTTAGGTATGTATACCGATGGACTGTATGAAATAGCCATTAATCTGTAACGTAACTGTTACCAATCAGACTTCGTTGACCAATAATTCCGAATAAACAATCAGGTCAAACGCGTATAACCACGATTATGTCCCACCAGATAATTACAGGTTGTTCACAGTCATCAGACATTTCGGCTGGTATGCTGGCAAATACTAGTTGCTTTGCGACAAACAAGACATTTTTATCAATCCATCATCCGTGCAACTGACGAGAATGTTCAGAAACAACGGTCACCTCACACTTTCCATTTTACAGCTAACACCAAAGTTAGTGTAACAGGTGTTCATTTGTTCTAACATATCACTCATCGTTTGAACAGTTTTCATATTCATGAGGAAGTCATTCACATTTCTTATATATAGCGTCACCCTAGTTCATATTCCCTGCATTTTGTTGAGCCGGTCACAAGTATTTACCTCAATTTAGTATAGAAAAAATTATACCTAAGCATTTAGCTCGTGTAAGTCAATTCGGCACTCCGATCTTCTATCAACTTGACACGCTCCGTTTGTAGCCTCACCACACTGGTCCGGTAGATATTAGTTGGCGGTGAAGGGACAATGTGAAAAACTGTCACCTACTGGTGTCTTTCTCCGCAGCACGGTATTTAATCTTCTAAGGAAGTTTCAATTCTTGTGCATCCAAATCTTGTGCATCCACTACTTGATTGATGAAGTTGACCCAAGCGAACAACCGTTAAGTTTGCAGTTTTTCAAGTTTTCAAACATTTTTCGTGTTGTCGATTTAGCTGAACGAAAATTCATCCATATAATGTTTGACCAACGTAACATTGACCATTCTGTCACAGTGACTTGACATAATTACTCAGACATAGTACCGAACAGCATTTGTACACGGTTTTCAAAAGCCAACTGACTACAAAAAATGCTTTTTCCTGGCGTGATACACGTCCATACCGTCAAATACTGTCAACTATTATCGTAGTTACAGAAATGAATCGATTTCCTTCTGGAAGTCAGTTAAGACAGCAACAAAAGTTTTTCCTCCTTTCTCTGGTGTATGTCAAATATTTTAAGATATTTTGGATTTCCGACACAAAAATGTTGTCTGAATGCGCCTGAGTGGGTTAAATAGTTACCGTTATGAATATTGCGTTTCTACTTAGACTGTTTGATAACAGGCAATATGACCTGAAGCGTGATATCAAATGTGGTATACTGCTTCGTGTGGCTGATGTTCTCAGAGTTTGGATAGGTTAACACATGATCCAGGTATTTCAGAACAAAATGTGTATAATCGATAATTTGGTTTATTGGTAACATCACACTCCTGATACAAACTCTTCTTCAAATCTGATCTAAAGGAGCATGCCAATAGTGAGACGTTACCAATAAACTAAATTATCGATCGCACACAAACTGATATGAAAATATTGATGCTGAGTCGGTCTCAAATCTATTTAAACTAATGATACAGGTTTGTCAAGGAGCATGGGTTAGAGCCTGAATACTGTTCAAGGAATTGTCATCAATCGTTCCGAATGGCAATAAAGGGTATTACTTCTTGGTTTGGGGGAACATTTTGTGGTCTCATGTACGGTCAAATTACTAGCTGATTACTCCGCTAGCGAATACGTGCAGATAAGTAGTTGTTGCCGGGCGAAAGATCATTCTGTCCCATTGTCTTGACTTGATCTATTATGTGTCTAATGTCAAACTTGGTGACTAATTCAGTGTTGCTCGTGTCGTTGTTGAGACCAGTGGTAGTAGAGTTTAAACTCGCATACACACACTCACAAAGCGGTCTGTTGTTCACCCGTCAGGTAGCGGCCACACGGTATGAAACCGTTACAGATAAGATTATTCAACACGCTTTCACCAGAGCAAACAACGCTTATACACACATGTGTGTGCTGAATGTCGTGGAAACACGTCCCAGTTTACTGACGACAGTCCTTGTTTCACTTTTCTATGACAAGTTTCGTAACCCTGGTTACGTATTTCACTGGTTGAATATATGTGATACTGGATCCAGTATTCAGTCTGTCTAACAATTTAAAAAAGGTATTTAGGATTGTTGCTTAAGTGAACAAAAGTTCACCGGAGACAATTCAGATTTGAAATTCACTTCTAAACCAGTGGGTGATTAGGCAGAAAATACAAGTTGGGGATAAGTGTTACTCGAAAGGTTCTATCGATTGTACAAGGTGAATAGGGTATCCGTAAGATGTCAAAAAGACAAAGAAACGAAGACATTATTTTCCTACTGAATTCTCCTACCTTCAGTTGCAACAGAACCTCAGACGGGCATTCTTATGTCTACAGTTTTCCTCTATAAGTAAGGCTACTAGCTGTATGTAGGGGAGTATTTCTGCCGGTTTCCTATCAATCCTGTGATAGTAATTGCAGGACTGATGACTTATGAAACCTGTAGCTAATGAGGTTATCTCTGGGTTCTCAGACAGTTGACATGAAAACCCGTGTTTTGGTGGCTGCCTTAAAAGCGCACAAACTGCAGACCACCGGTTGTTTCAATTTTATAATTTACAAGTTCAGAAAGGCTTAGTGTGCAGTAAAGTTTCACTTGGACCTGTGCGCAGATTCACTTTAAAGTAAACAACTACGTTGAATATTTCTCTTGTTGTGGCATTTTAATATCATATATGCTCGTCTAACTGCGAAAATGTGTATGTGAAGGGCGCTTGGACGTCATCGTCCTGCAGATATCGTCTTTCCAATTTTCAGACAGCTGTCCTTATTCCGCAGAATGGATTAAAATTTACGCCGTCACCAGTCTCTAAGCTCAGCTGGTGCTTTATACGCTCAGCGTACTCATTAAGAGTTAACGGAGAATGTGGATTTAGTAGAAGGATAACACTCATGAAGTGTAAACAAATCGAAAAGACAAAACCAAAAATTATGTGGTCCCCATTTCGTACCAGGTCACGACAGTCAGTACCACTGGTTACAACGTGATGGACTACACTAATACATGATCACGAGATATACTTCTGTCCCGCAACAAACGGATCGGTTTCTCCTTCGTGAGCTTTACACGCATAACTCTTGGCTAAGTGGGCTAGTGATACAAAAGGATTGCTGCTTTGAACCTTGCTCAGACAAATTCAAACGCGAACGAAGATTATCGCGGCTTGCCCATCTGAGGTTAGTTATCGTGTAGAGTTGTGCTACACTTGTCTCAGTTTTCCGGACCAAAACTAAGCTAACTCCGGATAGTCACAGATAGTCATCCCTTTTTTCTCATCTACTTGTTTGATTTTTACTTTAACTTACCTATGTTTGCGTCTCAAAACCACGCACAAAATGATTTAGTGTAGTGAAATTCTCTCCATATTGAACTATATTTATTTTATACCGTTGAACCTTTTGAATGGGATAGTAGGAATGTGCAGGTTCCACGCATTCTATCTACCTGATACAGTCGACTACCACGAAGGGAAAGTATGATTGTTATATGTAATCCTGAACGTACAAGACTCTGACTAAACCAGAGCTGAGAAAACGTGAGCTGTCGATCGTCTCCGATCGCTCAGTGCGGATCAGTGGTAGCTATAAACTAATGCCTCACAATATCAAAAAACTAAGAATTTACAAGGGGGTGCACAACAGGTTTGTGTCGGAAGTCGTGATGTTTTGTGCCCCTTGAAAAGGATTGTCTTCAAAGGATACTTAGCACAGAGGCTCTTTAAATCTGATCTTTTCTCCCAATCACCATCCACTGTATGCACAAACTGCAGGTTATTGACACATCTGCAGGTTTGACTTGAGTCAATGCAGCACCATGCTTAGCAGCAACATGGGCAAAACTATAGTACATTGTTCTGTTTCAAACATGAGCTTCTCGAAAAGTCTTCCTAATTATGAATGCTATCAACCCGCACCAGTGATTTTCATTTAATATCATTCAAGACTTTCAATTGTGCACTAATAAACACGAGTTGCTCTCAGCTTGTTACAGTGCTGTTCTGTAATTGTTTAACAGCAAGTTGTCTTTTTGACTGTCATAACAATAGTAATTGCCCCAAATACAGGTATGCCGCTGAAAGTTTACTGCTAATTGTATAGCCTCGTTCCAACCATGGGTTACAAGTGAAAGACAGGGTTGAAACTAGTCCTTTCAAGAATACTACACGCTGAAAGTGGCTTCATCAAATATGTTTTGACTATGGTTCTATATAAGAAGAGATTAACGAAAACTAGCTGTTTTACAGTAGAATGACCATGTGACCACTTTACCGTTTATTGATTAGGTTTGTCGATTTTACATCTTCAGTCCGGCAAGTTAACCATGGTCATTTGAAATAAAGCTGCTGACCAAATAAAGAGGTTGCGTTACGTCACACAGTCAATGGACTTGACGCCCACAGCCAAATCGTCTAAATCTTAAGTTCAAAGGTCAACCATGAAAATCACAGGGCTTACGAACCTAACGGGGCAGAATTGCAAACTGACTGGACAAAACTGAAATGTCGATAATTACAGGGGCATTAGGACTATTGGATTTACAGTGGGTATAACTGCTACGATCATCACAAAATTCTTTGGCTAACATTTCTCTTTTTGCTTAACCCG